ATTCGTAAATAACTCAAGATTTTACTATGACTACCGTAGTTTGACTTCTAAACAAAAGTTTTCAGCACAAAATTTTAGATATATAGGTATAACTAAATATTGAATATAAAGTAAATTAAAATCTGCACTTAATCTCTTTCGATTCGGTAATAGGCACAGATTTGAGACGTGCAAGTTTTTAGCGAAGTGACGTAGGTAGATTTGATATATTCTATTTTTTTTTGTTTTGCTAAGTCCTAATTTGACTGTTTCTTGTATGTAATTAACGAAATAAAGCTTACAGTATAAAATACATATAACAAATATTGCAACGCTTTTATTTTTTGCAAGAAAAAAAAACAAATGAAAAATATTATTGATTATTTTATAATTTAAATAATGATAAACTTAATGACAATAAGTAATTTTATTTTATTAGCTAGACAACGTAAGTATGTAAATACGTAATTTTTGGTTCTAATTCCGAATGTTATACCATTCCGGTCTAGCTTTCCGGATGATCGTCCGATCTCAACCCGGTACACATTTTCCAGGTGCAAGATCGCTCAATTTGATTCTTTAATTTTGAAAGCCCACAATTGCAATTACCAATTAAACATCAAAATATTAATTAATTTCTCTCTTAATATGCAATTGTTCTTGCAAGTGCAAGAGCTGTAACAACTACTTTGCAGTAGCTGAAAAGAAAGGCAGAAGATTTATAAAAAATAGTAAATATATTAGCCAAATGCTAAGAAAATTATTAGTCTGTTATAGATTTAAATGGTTGATTTCAAGATATTTCGTTCCTTGATCTTCAAAATTTCTAAAGTTATTCAAAGAAATTCATTCATTGGTTTATCATCTATATTCCGAAGATATCCGGCCGATATTTTCCGGGCCGGCCCATATCACAAAAATAAACACGGTGTCAGACCCGAAATCGGCGAGTCTGTCGCTAAATCGAAAGTAGGATCGTGTAGCCTCAACCTTGGTTACCTTGGGTTCGAAAGAGGCGTGTTAGATTTAGTCGAGTGGTATAGTTTTAGTTTGGGACAGAACCAGAGTTTATTATATAGACAGGGTTCGTAACGAAGGGGTATAATGAACGTTAGGTTCGATATACGAAACTGGGAAGCGTATAATTTTATTAGAGGTAATTACTCGATTTACGAAGTGTATAGATTTATTAATAGCGATAGCATGTTATCGGAAATAATTGTATGATAAAAGTAATTTTAATAAAGCAAAGGTGGGAGTTATTTTTCCCAAGGGCTCAAAGGCCTTTATTTATAATTAATTATTTATTTACTTAGTGCATGCAGAATTCGCCGTATTCCCAAAATTACCCTCATTACTGTAATTACTGTAATTATTGGAATTCGCCTTATTCTAAAAATTCACCGAATTTCCCTAATTCTCGTAATTCCGGGAATTCCTGGAATTCCGGCGGTAAACCCAAATTTGGAATTCCCGGGTCACGCGGCCACGTGCCTGCGGTCAGGTCACGTTTCCGGTCTCACAACGGCAAATTTGATTACATAATTAATATGTCTTTGTTGTGTTGTTATTGGCTTGTTTAATTTCAGCGGGAACATTTAACCAAGAGGGGGATGATGTTAACCAACTAATCAACTTTGAACGGCCTTATATATTGTTTTCGTGTTCGTTTTTGATTTAAACTCTAGACTTTGACTTTTTTGACAATCACAATAAGAATTAAATTCTCATTTATGTATCATTATTTGACTTCATTTCTAAGTGTCAGTAAGGCTCCGCTGTTGCTTTACAATTTTCAGATAAAGATAAATTTTAAATTTTAAAATAAGAATCGGATCAGCTAAATCAATTTTAGTAAAAAACTTAAAAAATAAGTGATTTATCAATTAAATAAATCAGCAAAATAAAAAATAATTACTATATATAGTTTATTTCAAATAGTTCAATTAATAAATAAATATTGAGTCTGTTGAGTGAATCGATGGAAAGCTAATTTACTAGTAAATGATATATTTGTAGCGCAATTCTTCGGAACCAGACATTTGGCAATATGCATTTAGAGAACAATTAAGAAAAATTGCATTTATAGAGGCCAAACAGCATCTAAACACATACTTGGACTAGAAGATGCAGTTGCACTTAGAAAGAGTTGATTGTAATTATTCTGTGTCGGAGTTATCCAGCTTGTTAAAAAACTTGAAACTTTTTATATTCTGTCTTAATACTAAACTTATAATTAATAAAATAATAGAACCTGATAATAAATTTATTTTTTAAAATATTTCAAGTATATATAAAAACCTTTTCATTATTATTTTGAAATACAGAATCTAAATCATCACTATAATTATAAATTTCTAACCAAGGTCGATAATTTACTAAAAAAAATAATAATAATAATAGTAAGTAATTAAATATAAAATAGTAATCTACAGTTTTTGAAGATAAAAAAAAAATCTATATTTACAATATACGCTTAAATTCCTTCCAAAATTTCTTTGACAAAGAATAGAATTTATTACCGATACAATACTAATGAGAATTAAAAATCCTAATAATACATTAGGTTTTATATTGTAAAAATTAATGTCAATATTATGAATAAATAAATGTAACTTATAAAACAAATAAATATTACAAACCAGCCATCAATCGTACACCTACATCTGGGAGGAAAAGATTACAAACAACGAGAATGTTGAATAGTGACATAAAAAAACTAGCAATATATACTATCCACATTTTGAAATTTGATTCTACTCGAACCTAAATAAAAATATCATGTATATGAATATAAAATATACAGTAATTACCAATTATAAATAAAAATACAATTATACATAGTTTTTATGAAATTACCCCATTAATCATATTAAAAGCAATAATTGGTGGTATAGACCAGTACCACGGAATTGTAATAAACAAACATTCGATTGCTGATAATTTTAATGTTCCTTGAAAAATATTATCAAAATAGTTGCACCATATATAAACAAGATATGCTAAATGTAAAATCTGAGCATGAGCAAGAAACATTTGAAGTTTATATCTATCATAAAGTTCTAATATAAAATTTTTATTTATACAAATTAGCGTTGAAAAAAAATAAATGATATTAAAAAGATAGTGATAAAATATATTACTCAAAATAGTTGATTTTTCTGTTTTTAATATCACTTTATCCAAAGAAGCTGTATTCGATTTAAGTCTAAAATTTATATAAATGGGTTTAAAATAAAGGTTTAAATACCAAATGATGTATATACCATGGATAATTACCTTTTGTAATATATAAACATACTTAAATTCATAAAAAATATCAAGAGTATTATTTCATGGGTAACCAAAACTATATAAAAATATCCTATATAAAAAAATAAATAAAAGTGATTAATAAAAGATTAATAATTAATAATTAATGAATATCCACTAGCTTGCATACTCAGATTAGCAGTGCCGGCAGAAATAAAAATAATGTAATCAAACCAAACAATTTGCACAATAAGTATAAGTAAATGTGATAATAATTTTGAGGTAGCCTACGAGGTATAAAATAATAATTAGTTTTAAAGAGTAATGATAGTAATTTTAAAGCATAGAAGGTTTACCAAAATAAAAGATGAAATCCAAAAACCTAAAGATAAAATCAATAGATGTGCAAAAAAAAGAACTTTAACACTAAGAAATATAATATATGCATATCTTATAATAATGTTTTCTAAAAATAATAGGATTAGCAACTGCTCTAAATTACTAAGCAAAAGAACTTGATGATATAATTGTGTTAATGAATCGTGTATAGGATTTTGACTAAACATTGCGAGTTAGTGAATTACTTGCTTTGCGCGAAATAATTGATTCTAATATATTCTGTATTTATCATACACGTACATACGGCACGTACAATTTGCGTAGTTAGCAAAATAATACTAGTTTCTATACATAATATGAATGACGCACAAGGAAAACCTGTAAGTAAAATTTTACTCTATGCCGATATTAACGATTTATGGCCAATCATAGGATACGACAAATAATCATTTATTACAGTATTATATAGTTTATGTAGGAAATGCTTATTTGTCATATTCTATGATCGGTCACGCCCCAGTGCCAAATCGTTAATATCACATCACTCATATTGGGCGTTTTTTTTAGATTAGATCTGCGCGTATGAAATACACAAGTGACCAAATGGCTTAGTTGGCTTAGCTAAAAAATTTCGGTTGATCAGGTAAATTGATATATTGGTATATGTAAGCATTGCAGCATTGTTTAAACGCATCGTTTTTTTTATTACAGTATTATATTATGATAAACAAATTAATGCGAACTTGATTTCCACAAAAGATGGGAAAATATTATATTAATATATATCTAAGGCTACATGGTTTATTTTGAAATACAGCGCACTGATTAAATTAACGTGGTTATTGAAAAATATGCTGTTGAGCTACCAAGAACTATGAAACGTAAGTAAGTTTTTTGGATTAATCAATATATATAAAATGCTCGTAATATATAGTTTGAGGAAACTATTGATAATTTTATTTTTTATATAAATATATAATCTCATCGACTAGCTGACTTTTAAAAAATTGATCAGCCGAGCCGAAAAATCAGCTTAGCCAAACTTTTGATCATCAGCCAGGATCCTAAATTGCACATTATCATTTTACTGGTAAAATATCGTTAGCGATAGAAAACTAGATAAACAAGACTAGAAATTTGTCAATTTTGCTAAATCATGTAACAAAATATTATACTCTGGTCACTATATCAATAATTCAGGGTATAACTCAACTATACTCTGGGTATTATGTGTATAAGCGGAAATTTCATTTCCGCTCATATCCAACTATCCAGGATATAGCTATTACAAATTCTATTTATGCATATACAATAATGAACAAAAAGAGCCTGCTTATTAGTTGCACCAAAATACTTTAAAAGAACTTACATATCTGGTATTTTTGTAGATTTTAATAATTACGAACACATTACAGAAAGCTTCAATAAAAATGTTCTACCCCAATAGATCAACAGAGCCTTCATTTTTTCTGCTTATTAGATATTTATTTACATTTTTCTTTTGTGGTTTACTTTTTAGTTACGTATTTTATTCTTGGAATGAATTTATTCTTAATAACAATAAGCCAACCGTATTCATCAGCGAAAACCTAGAAAATATTACATTTCCAGGTACATAATCTCAAAATATTATATGATGTTCAAATATGCATATTTTTATTAGTTATATTTCTAATTGAGAATTTTGATCTTAAATATAATAGAGTTTTCTATATGTTATGCTGGTAATTTATATTCAATATTTATGTTCATATCAAATAATAATTATTAAATTCGTTATTTTTTTGAATAATTATTAAAAGTTACAAATCCTAATAATCCTTACTCTAACGCTCAGTACGATGTGATCAACAATGTTTCTTGTGCTAAACAATTTAATAACCAAATTTATTCATCATGTGATAATTATTTAAAGTTATCTGATGGATGTTGGACATTTACTCCATATCTAAATACTAACATTAAAGATTTTAGTAATCCTTGTGGCGAAGGCCTTAAATATTGTCAGGATATGACAAGTTTTTTTAATAATTCTACTTATTTCACATATAAAGAAAATTATCATGACTTATTAATCCTAAATATCTCATTGTTTGGTCCACCACAATTAAATACTACAAGTTCAGGTTACCTTAAAATTATTTTCAATCAAGTCTTTACTACCTCTGAAGGTCAATTTAATGTTGGCAATATTAGCAATATTTATTCAATTTCTCTTGGTCAATTGTCGATTGTTGAATTTTCACAAAAAGTACGCCAAAGATATTCTACAAAATTTAATGCTGAACTCGGATTTTTAGTTATGTCTACTCAAAAAGAAGCTGTTTTAGATATTGATTTGAAGGTACTTCCATTAGGTTCGAATAGCTCTTATACTATATTGGCAATTAGCCCAAAAAATCATTTGATTCGCTATGAAAATGAGAAGTATAGTGGTTGTAAGTAATATAATTTAATCTCATCCTTCTATTAAAGTCTAATATTTATTATAATTTTTATATTGTAGTTGGTAACGTATTTTCTAAAATTGGAGGATTTTACACTGCAATTAGTTCAATTTTTATTTTATTTTTTGGATATCCAAGACTTTCTCCATGGTTTGTAATAAAAAAAAAGATTCATTATAACATTTAATAATATATTATTCAACCAAATTTTAATCTTTTTGTATTTATGTAAAAGGGGTTTGTGCCAGACTTGTCTATGTTGGCGGCCATTCAGAAAAAGTTTTAAAGACAATCTCGCAAAAAGATATATCTCACGAGCTGGAATTCCATTAGTTGATGATCCACGTAAATTGCCTACTGGTGCGACTTCGGATGATAGAATTGCTATACTAGAAACTTTATTAAAAGAATATTACCTTGATACAACCTATCTTGATATTTTAAAAGAAACACGTGATAGATATATAGAGCTTAATAACATTTACCACACATTGGAATCTAGTGACAATAAATACTTAGATATTTGAAGTATGAGTTAATGATTGCTAGCACTCCCATGATAACGATCTCATATGAGAAAAATCAACGATGTAATTTATGTAATTAGCTTAGAGTAAACGTAATATATAAATACGAGAAATTTTTATTTTTTTCTTTCGTTCTAACTAGAGAAAAAGTAAAGTACACCCATATCTTCGTACTAAGACATCGATATTCTGTTTTCGTCAATTTCTATCACTTTACTATTGGCTACGGCATATATAAGCAAGAGACTTAAATGATCGGGTAAAATCGCCACCCAAAAAATATGTCGAGCACCAAAAAAGTCATTTAACTTGAACAAAAAATTTACAGACTAAAATAAATTCAATAAAAGTAATGTTTATTACAGTCATAAAGTATTATTATTACGATTTTTCTAGTATTTTGAATATTCCATTGCCTTTCAAATGATTATGCAATGGCTCAAATTTTTTATTATCGATCCATTTATTACTATTTGGATTAATCATGTTTCTTCAATAATTTTTTTTTGTTGCGTTCTGGATTCAGAATTATAAAACTTTTTGCTCAAAATAAGTAATCAGTTATAGTTTTCCGAAGAGCATTCAAAATAAAATCTATAAGATTTTCTGGTGTAATTGCCTGATTAGTTTTTATAATTTTATTTCTTTTTTCGTTTATCATTAGTGGAAATTTTGATTACGATGAATAATGTGTATTTTTAAAATATTGTGTTATTTTGATTTTTGTTTTTGTAACGATCGGTTTACATTTTGAAGAATCGAAGAAAACAAAATCATTTCTAATCGATTAACTTTATTAAATGATCCTAATCATGATGAATTGACAATATCACATGATCTTCGAAACTTTTTTGGGTGGCGATTTTACCCCAGTCGACTTAACCTCCCAAAACACCAGGAAAATATCGGTTTATTAATCTTTCCTTCTATTTGTACATGTATTCTTCCTGGTTGTTATTAATATTTCCCTTTGGTTTTTGGTTTTCTTTGGTAGTTACGAATCTTTCAGATTGGTTAGTAGCTATATCTTCAAAGTTTGTAACTAACAGTTGATTGACTGACTCCATAATACAAAAATAAAGGAAAAATTTGAATAAATTCCTTTATCAGACATACTTTATCGTAAAACGTACGTACGTACTACTAGTGTTGGCTGATGACCTATATAACCTTTATGACTTGTCATAGACATTGATAATATCGAAAAGTTAATATTACTTTATGACCTTTAATATAATGAGGATTATAATTAAGAAAATTTTTAGTAACATTTAATATGGCCAATATGATTTCTGACCATAAAGTTATTTGATTATATGGCCAAGGTTAGTGATGTGCCGCGTACAGTACTATACGTACTGTACTGTACGTTGTGACGGTCTAAAGTAATGTCACATTTCCGAAGTCATGCTGCGAAGGCCCTCTATTTCTATTTTTAGAAT